CAACTCGGCGCACTGCACAACCCAATGACCTAATCTTTGTAAATATCACTTCCGTATAATTTAATTACAGTGGTCCCTCAGGTAATAAATGGAATTCTAATTAAATTATCAGATGACAGCATTTTTACTTCGTTAGTTGAATTGTCTCAAACGGATTTCCTGTTTCACTCTGGAAAGAAAAAGAGTGGTTTAACACAGATTAATTTAGTACCGTGGTATGTACCAACGTCTTTCTTATACAGAAAGTCGAGTTATCCTACCTTGCTGGTCATGGCCATGATGCGGTTCAAAATCCCAGAAGTAAGGGGATGGCTGAATTGAACTTCTTCCTCTTCGCCATCGTCAAGCGCGCAACTTTCGGCCGGAGCAAGTTCCGTCTCCCCTTCGCCATCACGACCCCCAGCCGACTGCACCAGTTTCATGTATTTGTACTCCAGACGTTGCGTCTTCTTCCAGAAATAAAGCATGAGACCGCACAAGAAGAGGGCGAGCGCCACCGTCACAACAATCACTATCTGTTGGCGAGGAAGTTAACGTACTTTTATATTTAAAAACCGACTGGATATATTTTATAACCACATTGGGCCTGGATGCAAGAACAATAATGCAAAATATGTAAAAAAATGCCTCGCCTATTGTCTCAATTATAAAATTATGGAAACTACGACATTTCAGAATCTGGATCTTATTTCCATCTTTACGTGGAAAGAGGGGACGAGGACAGAGAGCCTATCTGTTGGGCTCCCCTAGTGACGTAGCCTCAGACCTCCATGTCTTCCTGAAGATGGAAGCAGAATCCAGCTTGCGAAATGTACTTTTATTAAAAGAATAATTTTACATAATATAACGCACCATCATCAGAAACCTTCGGACTTTGACCACAATGAAAAATATTTTGCGATCTAAATAATTTTCTAGTATTAAGAATTTTTAAATATCAGTTCTTATTCCCTTATTAACACAAGGAAGCCAAGAAACTAGTGAACGTACAGGCAGAGGAAGTGATGAGTAATTTAAATTTCACAATCCTGCAAACGTGCTTCTGGTGATGGCTACTGCATGGCAGTGAAATGAATCAGTAAGGACCGGGAAGGCTCGGCAGCCGGCCAGGGTAACGGGGGGCAAATAAGAAGCCTCTCGTACAGACGGAGGAAAGTAAAGGGGTTCGTTCGACCCACAGTCTCACAAATTGCTGCAGGGCGTATGGAAATGGAGATGATTACTGGCATTTATAAATTGGTGAAGAATGAAGGGAATTCGGCTTCAAATATTTATAGGTGGATAAATCCCTGATCAAATATTGTACTCAAAAATGCTCCACTATCAAAATGTTACGGATGAACCCGGTGAAATAGAAAAAACAAGCCCATTGATTTCCAAAAAGATAAGAGGTTTTGGTTATTGAATATCCACCTGAAGTTCCAAGGGAATATGAGTTGTACATGGAATCCTTTTCTTTGCTGGCATCGATGATGGCATAATGCAATTAGTTGGAGGAAGGTAATGAACCATCTGCATGCCGTACACACACTCTCCCTTCACCATCCTGTAATACACAAATAAATTAACTGGAATTCGTAATTAGTACAGATAAAAAAAAAATCACCTGATAAATTAAAATCATTATAATACACGTCAGAAAATTAACATGCAGAACTTTACATAAGTACACATGCCACTACAGCTCTACATGATTAAAAAAATTGATAATTAATGATTTAAACTTTCCTGAAAAAAAAAAAGTATTAAACCCAAAAAGAATAAATTTATGAAACACTGACCAGGAATTATTTTCTGTGCACACAGGACAGGCTGATGCACTGACCCATAAGAAGTTGAAATTACAACCGTCGCATGTTCCATCAGGACACTTTGAAGGAAGATGAATCGTTCCATTTCCTTTTTGGTCTGGGTCACAACGTAATGTAATTATAGTTGTTCGGCCCTGAGGACATGAACGTGTAGAACTGAAATCAAATAAATATTTTTGTACAAAATTAATGTACATCTCTCCGCGTTGTACGGCCAACACTTCCTGCACGCACCGTCAGTTTTGAATGTATATAATAAAGATAACAGTTTATAACGACGAAATCAGTTAAACCAATGAATAACATATATATATATATAGAGATACATACAGTGGTGTTGAGTAGTAAAAATGCAGATCATCATGGTGACCCATCTTCACAAATTCATCAATCACTTGCATATTCATGAAGGAGACATTTTTTGTAACACCAACCAACTCGTCTCCCAGTGTGACAGACTGCGTCGAAAGAGTCAAGTCCTCTTCTGCTGACTGACTTGGAACAATAGTTGTCCGACACACAAAGGATTTAACCTGTTGCAATTGAAGAATTATTTAAAATATTTATGAAATTGAATTTTTATTACAAAAGACAAATTTTTGTATAAAAATATATATAACAAACCTTTTCCTTATTTATAATGGATAGAAGGAAATACACAACACCAACAGAACAAGGATAACGCTAGAACACAATTCGAAATACATACAATTATTAAATTATTGTTCGAAACTCACCTGGGAGGTCTGGCCTTCGATCTGGTACGACACGTTGTTTGTGCAGAGAGCTGCTGATTGTCCACACAAACTTATGTTAAAAAGGTGGTAATACTGTGCACCAGAAGCTGTAAATAATCTACTCCCTTTCACCAGGAATGGCCTGTAACATGAAACAATCAACAGTATAAATAGGCAATGCTGTAATCACAAATATTGTCAAAGTTATCTTCACATTCCAGGAGCAGTAAGATTGCCGTCCCGGCAACAGATTAACACCCAGTTACAGGTTCATAAACTTTCCTGCGAATATTGCTATTACCGATGAGCTTCAGCACGAATATTATACCGAGAATTAAATATTACTGAGTGAAGACACTAGGTTTATATTTTAAAAATCCACTTCATATATGGAAAGAATAAAATGAAATAAATACACATAGTATTATATAAATGCATTATTTTTATATAACAGTAGAATTTGGACAAAATTTACACATCACATTTATTTCCAGTGTAGAAATAATTGCACAATTTTACACTCAGACCCACTAAAACCAACTGTGTTGCCATTTCAATGTAAAGACGTCATGTTATTACCTCAGATTCTAGTTCAAAATGCGTCCCAAATTCTTTTAGATTCAGTGAGAATCAGATTAGAATGAACCATTAAATAAGTAAAATAAAAATACCAACATATTTCTATTACATTTAGTAGAGTTTTATTATGTTGCATGGAATTTTGGCTGCTGATGTATTAGAGAAAACTATAGTTTACAAGGTCAGTAAAGAATAAATTTCAAACAGACATAAAATCTATATTTAAACACTGGTCTTACTTGTCCAGTAACCAGAGATCATAGTGCGCTCCATCAAACATGAAAACACATTTAGTCGTGCATAAAACACCATCCAAGCTGGTGAGTCCAGGTCCACATGGCTGACAAGAATCTTCTCCATACGCCAGAGGGTCGGACACGGTGCTGTCCAGCGGACAAGGCATGCAAGCCGTTGTGTTTGGATCAATGAACTGTCCAGGTGGGCAAGGTATGCATCCATGTTCTTCTGGATCCTACAGGAAGTTCAATGTTCATTATAAGTTTGTTCTATCTTCTTTATCGGCCAAATACCTTGTTTATGGTTACTGCAGGTCACATTTTCTTCAATATTTATTGTTCTTAAGCCATCCTTCAGATTAAAATGATATAAATCATTATTCTGATGTACTCATTACACGGGAAGGAAATTCTTAAGATAAGAAAGTGTTTGTACTTGACAAAGATAACGTCACATAAATACGAGGACAAATTGTGAAGTTAATTAATTTCATGCAGCAGTCGTTCTGGAAAAGCTAATGGTATGCTCAGCTAGTGAAGAAATTCACCACATTTCTGATACACTCACTCACCTGATGACATGGCAAACACATATCTGCCCCCCCATCAATCGTGTCAGTCACGTTGATTGAATAGATCTTTGCGACATCATCTTCAAGCCTAACGTTTCTGTTGTTCTGACCAAGCTGCAGCTTCTGAAATGCCCAGCTGAAGGTGTAGGAATCATTCAGCATTATTGAATGGGAGAACTCTTGTATTGGTTGCGACTCTGTCCATCTCTGAATCAACGTCACTCCTTTGGAATCTGATCCCTAAATTGTTAAAAAGAAAAGAGGACAATTATATACGCAACGAAGCTTGAAATACATCTACAAATATCTGGAAATGTTAAAAGCAATCTACTTCATACTACAAGGTTGTCCCTAAGGTTTATTAATCACGATGCCATGGAGATGTGAGTGTACAGCTCCACTTATTCTTGACCATCAGCTTCACACTCTACTCGCTTTATCCCCAGAACCCATAGGATCGGAGGACGCTCTCCCAGGTAAAGAACTTTGAATGTTTTTAAAACACAGTAGTAGCTACATGTACTCATCTTCATTCATTGTAGTATATAAGACATCCAGTACCAACAATATATTAATCCACTAAATACATGAATAAATAAATACATATTTTTAAATGACTCTGTCAGGCAACAATAATTTCTCCATTAATGGACAGTTTTTCTTGACGGATATAAAAATGATCTATTTGACAGAAGGCGGGTACATAATATTTACGTACGCGAAACAAACTCTTCAGAGTCCAGAGTTATTACGTTTAATGAGTCGTCACGGTTACCGACTTCTGCCTAAACACGGTTTATAAATGGCCATGGGATTTTAACAATATTAATACCTTAGAATTTTAATTAACCCACCTGCATGAACAGGAATTCACATTTACTCTCACAATCCAGTTCGAAGCTGAAGGTTATCCGTCCGACTTCTAACCGACGCCCACCACTTACACCTCCTTTGCTGCGAAAGCCAGCGACATTAAGGGAGAGTAAGAGGTATGCGCCATCTGTGTGATGATTTCCTGAACGAATGTATGATCCTGCACAATGCCAACCCATGTCACTACTGCTGCAGCTTGACCCTACAATAACGAGCAAAAAATCATATCAGAATTTTAATTTGCCCATTAAATCTGCTGTTGCTAGTCTGTTTACATTTTTCTTATTATATCTCACCTTTAAAGTAAAGTAAATCTATCCCACTATATGCCATGTAGGCGCTTGGGCGGAGAGGAGGTATAGCTCCTGATTATTCTCGACCTCGGCACTAGAAGGGGGTCGGTATCGCGCCCCGGCCACGCTTTACCCCCGGGGGAAGGACCCCTGTACCCATCGGACAGGAGGCTGGGTGAGCCCCAGAACTGGTCTGGACACAAAGGCTAGAGGAAAAATCCTCTGCCCTCGTCGGGGATCAAACTCCAGTCATCCAGTCTGTAGCCAGTCACTATACTGACTGAGCTACGCTGGCCCCATTATATTATATCTCACCTTTGCATTAGTTAAATAACTGGTAATGAAAAAATAAAATTTAAGACTATAAAATTCTCTACCACGCGACTTCATTCTAAAGCACAAATCCATCACACACAATTATATGCCGAGTTCGTCTGGGCAACTACGTGCAGTTTCTTACCATCAACTTCCATACATGCAGCACTCATCATCTTCGGCATTTCTGTCCAATAGTGAATTTGATAACCATAATTTGGAGAAGTATTAGGTGGACATCGTTTACAGCCATTCTTCCCGTCTGAATACGTATCTCTAGGGCAGAATTCACAAGCAGAGCCATTGCGATAATCCATTCCTGGGTTACAGGGTGGACACTCATGTTTCTTACTTGCTGGAGGTAAACGCATTGCTTCAGGAACATCATCACGACAAATCTTTGGCTGAAGCCACTTGTAAACTTCTTGCGTCTGGAAGACAGGACAAATTCCAGTTTACTAAACTCCCAATTATCTGCATTGGATAACTGAAACCCCGGATAATCCAAAAAAAAAATTAAAGAAAAACATGCAAATGTTACAAATACGTAAGTTTATTTACAGACACACGGTGCTTGAATTGTTAAATATTTATTAATAAGAGAAAGAATTTTATGTAAAATTTAATACAGAACACACTAATCATTATTTTTTTTTTAAGAAACTACTGCTTAGCTTTGAGAAAGTGTGCTTTATGACAAGGTTCTGATATCTGCAGTTTACACGTTCGTTTGAAATACAGACGTCAAGTAATTCACCTGATTATTGGAATCACATGGAGTACGTGTTTCATAGTAGTCGTTGTGCGTACACAGTTTTCGCGTGACGCAGGTAGGGGACGCTCGTGGTGAAAACTCAGTTATATTGTTGCAAGGTGTACAAGAGTGGGCCTCGCGTTCAGAGAAGTGATTTTCGGGGCAGTCGAGACATGAGCGAGCTCCTCCTTGGCTATAGGTTCCGGCACGACACGGTTTACATGAGGAGGCAAAGGCAACGCCTACAGAAACGGAGAAAAAAATTGCATTCAAATTAAATACCATACTTTGATACATGTGCTGATTGACTCGCGTTCATCTTGACATCAACCCTGGTGTGCGCTTTGCCACGTCGTGCTTTTGAAACAGTAAGTATTATCACTGTACATCCATAATACTTAATACCAGACAGATTAATAAAACAACAAAGAACTTTTGCTTACCACTAATTTCAATTGACTTTATTAACACTGGTTTTCCTTGATGTACGTCCATTCCAATTGTTTTCCACTGAAGAACATTCTGACCAGTCTTCAGATGAACAGTCTGCTGCTTCCATTCACCTTCGCGAGTTAATGACGGCCAACGATACTCTTTTGAATCCTGAATGGACTGACACTGATCATTCTGGGCCTAAATCGAAACGTAAAACGCGGTTTAAGAATCTAGTCAAAGTACGGGGTACGTGAAACTTTCTTTTAATTGATTTTCAACCAATTCTGAATCCATATATCATAGATACAAAATAAATTAAAAGGTAAATGTGACATTTCAGTAAGAGATTAATTGGTACTTGCGGGTTATCGGGACACATCGCTTTAAAAATAGGTTAAATTAGGTTAGGGTTGTTGTTATCTGTTAGCTTGTTCAGTTATTTATTGCTGACCACACACATTAACCTAACCTAACCTAACCTAACCTAAACTAACCTAACCTAACCTAACCTAACCTATTTTTAAAGCGATGTGTCCCGATAACCCACAAGTACCGACTAATTACTTCCAGATTTCGCCAAAAGATGCATTTCATGGCGTAACATTTCCGTCAGCCATCAGGAACATTTCAAAACAATCTATTTAAAATAGTTACCTCAAAGTCAAAGATGATATCCCTGTCAGAATACTGATACAGATAGGACAGGTTTCCAGGTCTCACAAGATGCACGGTGTACGTAAGTGCTGCGGCACATGAGCCTCCTGAGGAAGCTATAAAGTCACCTCTTGGTTGCCAACCATAACTGCGGCAAAAAAAAAATCAGAATCTAGTATCATCTCTCATCATTGCATAAACAATTCTATAATTATATCAATAATTAGCTATTTATGCCACCTGAAATTTCAGTTCTAAGAACAAAACTAGCTGTCGCAAAATAAATTACTGGAGTACAATAAAACCAGCATTTAACACCACTTGCAGACTTACAAAATACAGCAAATACACAATAATGATGTTCACAATGTCTTACTTGCTACAGTTGACTTCGCTACCGTATCTGACAAGCGAACTGAAGGAGGAACGGAATGATTCGACCTGCGTAAAAAATCCTTCTGGTAATTCATCCCATGTGTCAAACAGAACTCCTCCACCCAAGGAAAATGTTCCTGGGCGACACATACGACATGTCAGGTCTCCCAAGTCAAAATAATACCCAGCCTCGCATGATATTTCTGCGTGAAAGAGAGACAATGGTGGGAGATAAAAATTCAATTCAATTCTTCACGTAGCGTGCATCATGTAAACAGGAAAGGATAAAGATTTCTTAGGACTCACTGCAATTATTGATTCTTGTTGCTGGACTGGGGCTGCTGTCGGTACACATGCCAGAGCTGGGAACTTGAACTCGCCAGCGTCCCTTCTGCAGATCACACTCCGTCAGTTCATAATGGTAGTCTCCCTGAAGCACACAAAAGTAAACCCTCGACAATCTTCTGGGTTAAGGCGCAGCGTACACTCATTGGTAGATGCCGACATTTCAGAGAAACATGTTTGTCTGAAATGTCAGTATCTACTGATGAATCCACAAAGCACCAAAACCCACATCATCAATGCCCTCATCACCATAAAAACCTCGTATCTCACTCTGATCAATCTATTTGCTGAATGTCTAGTTTCCAGATTGTTATTATTTGGGGAATGTATTAAATACAAACGTTTAGAAAATGGGTCACCATACTAAAAAAAATCTAAATAGCTTAGGCCAAGGGTTCCTATTCGACAGCCTGCCCATGTGTTTTGCGCAGTCAGCACACATTTTCCTAAATATTGGATTATGTGGAACAAAAAATGTTCATTGCTTTAAATTACAGGCGAATAATTAATAAATACAAACCAAAGAAACGTGTTAAAGAAAATTAGTGAGAAATATTTGAACCTCTTTGTAATAATAAATTACTATAATTTTTAATAACGTGACATTAAGTATTAACAGACTGTAATTAAAACCATCTGGCCCTGAAGAGAACAAGAAATGTAAATGTATCTTATTTAATACGTCCAATTATCAACACGTTCTTTCGTGGAAATCTCGGGGACCGAGGTCTAATGACCCAGTGACCGCAGAGGCCACTTCTGCGGGCCACCACGACCAATCCATCGGTCAGGGAATTACTCGTTCAGGTACTGTGTCGACTGAAATGTGCAGTGCCCCATCACAATGGAATTATCTTCATCTGTAATAGTGTTCTGAGTCGTTCAACACTTCTGAATTATCCAGATGTTCCTAGTAAATGCGGCCATATACGTTCAATTGTTTATACAGAGTGAACTGCTCAGATCAAAACTGTGTCGTCTCACGTGCAATTTTCAATTAATTGATACACTATTCAACAAAATTGTATCAAAAACACAGTTCGTGTGAGGAGTGCGAGATTTTGTTGTCAAAATTTGTGGTCTTAATGAAGCAATTTAATACGCTGTTACGCGATATGGGTATAATCCTAGAGGAAAACCCATACAAACCAGAACTGCGCTGTCCGAACTGCGCAGCTAATTATCAAGCCGAACCAAATTTAGTGACGTTATCGTTATCAAATATGACAAAACCACACGCGATAGCAAAGTAAAGTCCCACTTTCCGCTAGCATCCTGAAAGCACACATTCAATCTGTAATACAAAGCGTGTAATGGACTCTTTCGCAAGTCTGAAAATGCCACTAAAGCTGATGATTTTATCAGGCAGTAAAAGTGGTAAATTTTATCGAAATCCTTTTTACATTTTCGTGTTGTCATGTTCTTTATGAAGAGCTCGGTAGTGCACATAAAAAGTACTCTTACATTCTGAAGTACGTTGGCTTTCTCGCGAAAAATCAGGAGATGAGAATATTTCAAGGCTCCATTGTTGATGGAACATTAAACCTTTTAGGTGAAAACCATTCGACTAAAGCCAGAACATCAAATGAATCAGTCCCACGTGTAAATTCACAAACACAAAGTCCTCACTTCGTCCACTCGCATTCGCCATTGAAACATTTCAACTTCGAAATGTATCTTAAATCAAATTTCCAAACACAGAAAAGTCGGACGCTTCGTGGTTTGTTTTTGTTTTTTTAAGATTCATTTGCATTCCATAGATCCTTGATAGACTAAACCAATGATATAGAATATGTCATGTAAATTTAATATAAAAATCTAGGCCTACAAAACAGCAGTTAAGCCAACGAAATATTATCCTCATAAATATTCAAACCAAATCAATTTTTTTATAGAATGGAATGAGTAACAGAAGAGATTATCTTTAACATATGATGCATTACGTTTCTAAATACATAAATACAGCATAAACTAACACTTATAATTAGTTTACACTATTATTCATCCGCATTAAACGCTTCACCATATGACTATGCAACTTAGATTAAATTAATTACCATTAATTCTCCACCTAAAACGTGTGCCCACACTATAAGTAACATTACAATCGAAACCAGCGCCTAAAAGTCCCGAAGAATGGTTAAATATTGCATAGTTCGTACAGTTATTTTCGCATATTTATATCAATAATCTCAACAACAATCTAATTGTATACACCGAAGTGAAATCCGACTATATATATATATATATATATTATTAAACTAACTACGAGAAATTAAATTTGTCGATAGAGTTAATAATATCCATAAAATAATAAGAGGTTACCGGTACAGTAGCAAAACATATGGTGCACTGCAGATTAATGTTAATACATACTAAAACAACAAAAATAACACTTTTCAATGTGATAAAAACGTATTAAAAATGTACTAAAAGCCAATAAAATCGAAAATAGATAACATACACGAGTGCCCCACAAGCTACCTTACAAAGGTACGCTATTGTCCAAGAGGAAATTTCACTTTCTTGTGGCACAGCGAATGTCAACATTAAGACGAAAGAAGGACTTTCAGTGTTTATTTCATTCCTGTGTTTTCGTATCTTCCCTACCTCCTTGCATGGGTCCAAATCCTGGTCATCGTAATTACTGCCGTCAGATGTTGTAAGGAAACTCAATAAAAACACACACATAATTTTCCTTTCTGCGTACAAATTCATTCCTCCTGAAGTGTAAAGACAGTTACACTTGACCCTGTGGGGCAAAATTACAATTGAAACCGACAAAAACAAATGTCAGCCGTTCGCAGTTGGTTTGACACTGCGTATGTCGAGGCTAGCACGAAACGATCGATTCTGTCTCGCACTTTCCGGTGAAAACAGATTGTCGCTATGGATACGAACTGACTTTTCTCGTATAATCTCGTTTCGTGGTTGTTATACGTCGAGTTTGTTCCAAATATATATATTTTCAATGGGAAAGCAAATACGGAATTATGGCCCAATCCCGTTTTTGGACAGAGAAGGACATTTCATCGACGAAATTCCAATTGACGTAGGTGATTATAACAAATTTGATGCTCTGCAACGGAATTTAATAATTGTCATCTTTGTAGTTCGTTTAATGAAAAGTGACGTTCATTCAACAGGAATAAGACAACGGCACGTCTGTGATTTTCTCATTTTCCTCATCTTACTGCGTTATTTAAATATTCGGTTCATAAACTAATACATAAAAGCGCATTATAATAACTTCCTTTACGCCATAAAATTCATATACGTAACTGGGAGTAGAAGCTGAGATTTCGTGTTAACCATGTTAGTCCGGCTAACACTGTGAAGAAATACATAAATAAAAAGTCTTCTGTCTTACTTTTGTGGTTCAGTGGTACTCTCCATACACTAGCCGGCTAACAGTGCGTTTCATGAGTCCCGCTGAAGCCCGGAAGAAAAACAGACTTTATAATTTTATTTTTTAAAATGTTAGGCAGGCTAACACGGTAAATACCAAAATTTGTATTAAATTTAAAATAACTGGGTTGTTTTTTAATTTCTTTTATATGATAGTTCATATGTGATATCTTACAGAAATGGATCCAGCCAGCAAAAATTACGAGAGTTCCTACACTGAAGAATAAGATTACAAGACAAGACAATGAAGTACCAGATTCAAATAAAACACAAACCAAAGGCACAAAGGCTATCGACATTCCACCTACAATGCAACCTAACAAAAATCAACACAGGGAGAACGGAAAACATGACAAACAAAAAGGAAAGATTAATTCGAAGGTAGATAGTCAAGCTGATTTAAAGAAGAATCCTAACTGGGCAAAAAATCTACTAGTCTGGCAGCGTCTATTTGCACATCACACACTTAACAGCATACGCAAATCCGTTGTCTACGTTTGCAACAACGCTCCACGTGACAAACTCGATTTTGTGCTTGATTCAACGTACAGACACGAAGATGCAGTATTTCCAGAGGTTACTGACGTCTATTTACAGTCTGAGACATTGGGACGTGAAACTTGGTAATAAATTAATTTAATTTTATAACACACACGAATGAATTTAGGCAGTTTTAAATACTGTACACGCAGCTGAGTTTTTGGTACTTGTGTCTAATTGTCACATAATCTAGTCAACAGCTCCACGACAACAAAAATACTCACCCTTTACCATCAGATATAATAATAGTTCCTCATTAAAGTGGTTTTATCTTGCATGACTATAATTTCATCACAAACTGGAAATATGTTTTCACCAAAGTGACATTTCTCAAGACCCTCATGAGAATAGACATTTACAATTCTCAGTATTTGTGGATAACCTTGACACATCGCTTTAAAAATAGGTTAGGTTAGGTTAGTTGTAATTTATTGAAATAAAATATAATAACTTTCAAGTATATGTCACTTATCCACACACATTAACCTAACCTAACCTATTTTTAAAGCGATGTGTCCCGATAACCCACAAGTACCCAAATCTCTTTTGTAATTTACTTTCTTAAAGCACATTATATGTCACTTTCGTTTAACTCGCCATTCTTTATTACAATTTTACTGAACCCAAATTTCTTCATCAGGTACAGACATGCAGAACTTGCTCAGTAAATATCTGATTCATGAAACAAATCACATGTCATGAACAACTCCACATGTAAATACACATAATCTTAGCAGCACTGTTCAGTGCGTCACAAGTTCCTTACCCGATGGATGCCTTAGATAGCAGAACCCCCTTGTGGCCAAGGCCGCTGCAGCCGCAGGCTACATAAAGTTGCTTGAGATGGCCCTGCTTTGGATAACACAACATGCCAAACACTAGCTACGAAACGATGTATTTTTATAAACACATCACATTACAAAAGAGGACGTAAATAAATCATGTAATCCATATTTTCCTTAAACCTGTAAACAGTGTAGTTTGATTATAAGAGTCCATTACAAGATAAATTCCAATATAACACTGAACTAAATAAAACATATATTACAAATGTAATTAAACATCTGACATTTGGGAGCATTCTATTCATATACGGTGAAACTTCACACTTTAATGTTTCTGCCCATGTTCCAGGCGAGTACTGAGAAATAATAAACACATTCCACCACCTGCAGTCATATCACGAGGCCATCCTATCAAATTTGGTGGTATCACACAGCGTTCCAACACCTATAATGTTAACCTCAGCATACCATCACCTCATGCTGCTCAAACTAATGCAGGTTACTCCCGCAGAGAAGATGGAGTTTTCTATAAGGTTTGAAAACGTCAATGGGCAAAGTACATGACAAGTAGTGAACTATGTGTTCAAACACATGTTATTTTAAAGTAACATATGATAATGAAATTACACATATGATAACTTAAAACATTACACTGAAGATGATAACTGTTTTCTGAGTTGTTGTAACATGTAGTCTGGCAAAAGTTTATCAACATTTTAAAGGCAGCACCTATCTTCTTGCATAATAACTATGTGACACTAACTTCTGATGTGCCACACACAAAAGTAAATCAAGTATGAAGACTGTAGCAAATAACAATTGCATTACACCAAGAGCAAAATTAAAAAAAAAAAAAAAAATCATTGTACACCCTTATCTATGCCAATAATGATGAATGAATGTACACAGCTCATTCACAAATCAAATGTTTAATGTCTAGACACTCCTAACTATTATATACAAATAATTACTGCATGGATATTCAGACTGTGTACTCTAAATGGACTTTGCTGCCTATATAATGGAAGAACTTACTTGATCCCATTCTCAATAAACTTTTAATTAGAGACAAACAAAACAAGAGATCCCAACCTCTTTGTTCTGTAAGTGATACTCCCAAAATTCTTCAAATATTTTTGTGGACGCTGAGAAACAAAACAACACGCCATTGCGCACGATTCTCTGTACATACGCAACACCAACCTAACCTAATGTTATTTAACCCAACCACAACCAATTATGCCAATCTACTCACCGGGTATTTTAAAACTAGAAAAAGGCAGAACACATTTTAATCAAGTTTTGTATGGATGTGCCACACATGTAAACTCTGGATTCATGCTACTTCATATACAATACACGCGAACAGCAACGTAACAGACTGTCAAATTCGTGAGGTGGACCGGTGACGCCATTGCGCAACCTCTTCTGCGCATGTAAGACACTACATAATCCAACCCAACTGCATCTTCATGGAATTCCTCAGTGGTAATATTCAACCTATAAAATGGCTGAGTGGATTGTCATCAAATTTGGTATGGATGTGGAGAACACTCCAAATTCATGCCTCTTTAATTTTCTACGCTCGCTAACACCGAATATAATTTACAGCAGTCACATACAATTAAGTGAACTCTACTTAACACAAAACAGTGCATGGAAGCTCACTTTCATGAGATGAATAAAACATTATGCAAGGAAGCAGCTTGAAAAATACTACCACTATAATGTAATTTATTGCTAAATGGATACATATTTCAAGGCATTTTAAACATTCACATAGATTAGTAATCTTTCAAATCTGTCACACTCAGCCCTAGTTAAAATATGACACCTTCACAAACATTAGTTCACAGACTTTGACACACATGGTATATCTGTCCTTTTAAAATGTTTGCAGATTTATCAAGCTCTAATCAATGAAGGGTCTAAACTTAAAGCACGAAACACACACATTCATACAAACCCAATGGCTTAAAATATCATTCGAGCCTTTAAACGTCACTTCTAAAATGCATTCATTTATATAAATGTAATTATGTAACTACATTCTCAGAATAATTAAATATAAAATCAGAATGTAGCAAATTACATATAGCCTTTTAATGTGATATGCATATTATTAAACACAAAAGTAACTGTAACAGTTATTTGTGATGGTGAATGAAGACATTTCTGTTGATTACTCCAGAATAATATTTCTACATCAGAAGTATATATTACACTTTAATTCAGACAGTTCTGATGACATACAAGTTCTGCAATGGGTGGAAGTGATAAATTCAGGTACACAACACAAAACATGTAAGCAAAGCCTAAAATCTCTTGGTGATGATAATGCAACCGTTTATATGAAGACAACTTTTATATGGTATAGTGTACATAACTTACGTTCAAAAATCACAAAAACTGAACTAAAAAGGTTTTATATTTTGTCACATCTGGAAAATAATCTGTAATTCAAGTAATTAAATACAAGTAATTCAACTTATAATCTCAGTTCCCAAGACAAGACACTGCAACATACAGAAATAGTGAGCACATGTCTGGCAAAGACAAACCCAGAACATATGTTTAATAGTATAATTAAATTTAATACAAACTGAATAAATTAATTCAAAACTATTCTCCAAGTTCTCCCTAGTTTTTTTTCCAGTCAGATGGGGAAAAATGCAGCACTGATATAATAGCATCATTTGACAAAGGTGCAAATTACCAATAACAAAAAAATTAATTTCTTTGTTATATGCACATGTATAAGAATTCTCAGCCTAATGTGTAAATAATGTAGTCCACACATTCAAAGATTAGAAACAATTATCCCAGCAGTGCCACTGAAATTGGAAATAATTACTCAGTATCCCACTACGAATGTGAAAAATTATAAAGAACAAAAATCACTGAATGTCATCGAGAAATAAAGGTTCTCGTACTGCTGCACATTCAACTCATTGTGGCCGACATGTGGGTAGATGGACATACATGTAAAATCTGACACAGTATCATAGTCTCTTATGTAGGTATACTTTAGCTTTGTGGTAAACTGTGTTGTATTACTTCAGGTGTTATTAACGATATAAACAATATGTGATTTACGAGGCTTCATTGATTGCAAACGAGAAGTCAGCAAGTGTAATACCTTCCCTCTGCTGCTAATAACACTCCTTTTACTCTGCTGATAAATTCCTAATGTTCACAAATATGTCCTATTGTTTTTTCAAGGTTTTCTTTTCTTTGTATAATATGAACAGGTAGTATAATTTATTTACTGTATGTAATGGTTTGATGCATTTGTAACATGTATTATTACAACTTATTCCACATCCTACTGTTATCTAACTCATGGATCCATGTAATATAATAAAGATGTATGATAACGAGCACATTATACCCAAACATTTTACTTTTCTTCTAATTAAATTTGGTAACTCCTACTTCTTATGTTCATCAGTTCAGCACTGACATACCTCCAGTTAACAATCAGTAGATAAAAAACTGCATATCAAATTTTACTTTTCTAGCCCAGCTTTTCGGAAAATGGAAAAAGACTATAAAAATGGGGTAATGAAAATAAAAGAGAAAAGGAAGAACTGTTAATGTATGGTCTGCTGTAATTCTGAATAAGGAATCTGTCTAATCCAAGATGTATTATTTAAATTTACTGTTTAAGGCGCATGTGTCCAACAAACTGGACTGCGCTGCAATTTTATCTCCAATACTGTTTAACAGTTAGCGTAACATTTTTGTCTCTTCTAGTGGCCTAGAACGAACTACTTTCTTAAAAATCTATTGCAACAATTCAGACATATTAGTGGTTTATTTCAATGGGATTTCTATAGATAAAAGTATGAAAGTTTCATTAACAATAAGTTACTCATTAATAAAATTACATCAAATCTGTATCCCATAGAATGAAAAGTGTTGAGTCCACCTATGTGACAGGCTGAAGTGAGATAATATGTATGAAAAAATAACACTAAAGGCCATACTTTATATTAGAAATTTCATAAGACCAGTTTATAAAACAATAAAGTATTATCTACTGAGATTAAGTTTTCTTTTTTGTTGACAAAGACCAGAGCATAAATAATAATCCTGATTCAGGATAACACTCTACTTAATCAATGTCATTTTGCTTCTCACGTAATAGATTTAAACTTATCAAATTTTGTTGCTGTATGGATTTATAAACTACACACACGAGTATTAAAATATAATGTTTAATCAAATCTGTGAAAATAACTATAGGACCAACATTTAGGATAGAGTATATGTAACTCGCTTCCTTACAGGTTGTTAAAACTATCAATAAAAAGGGATTTTTTGACAGAACAGGACAATTACACTTAAAAAAAACAGCACAACAACATGCTTTAGAAAATAAATTTCTGCCTACTTAAAAATAAATGACTACTTTCATTTATACATTATTATAATGGGGCTACAAGCATGGTAAGGAAAAGTCTAGAAAATAATCAGGATATTTCTTGATGTATTGGAAACCAATACAGTATGAAGACTTGATTCTATTGCCCGTTACAAAATGTCTAAGATACGGGAAGAGGAAAACATGGACGAAGTCATATAAAGTCATCCACTCCGCACTCCATTAATGTGACATGGTATTTTTATGTACAGGAACAAAAGGTACTACAATTCAGAGAACTACCATGAAGTATGTCAAGTACAATATTCCAAGGCCATAACTGCCCGAAAAGCATCAAAACTTTATGCCACGATGATGATGGTCCGCCACAATACACATATTCACATTATAATACCCTTCTACTGCACTAGTCAGCCTAGAGAAAACACAGCACATGTACAAAATGAGATGGAACGGGAGACATTTTTATTGAACACACATTGATTACAGAAAGTAATTATAGGCATGCTTCACACACTGAAATAGAACTGTCTAATTTCATTATGCTACTTAACAAATAACATTTCCCCATATGAAAATGGATTTACTTGATTTGTCCTGTTCTGTTTCCAAGTAAAAGAAAATAAATTTCTCTGTGACATTTTCACAGGCAATGAAAATGGTCATAAATGAATAATTCCATCTACAACCCAAGCATTCTGAAGAACACGGTAAAAATTTTCCGAAACTAAACAACGCTGCTTAGTCACAATTTATATGGCTGCTTGGATTAATGGATGGGATAAGTGTGTACAAAGACACTTTTCCCTCGCCTCCTTCGTAATTAAATCTTGAACACACGTTCCACATCTATTAACCACTATCACTCCATCATATTATAAGATAAATAAAAATACTTAAAACACTACTGTTTGAAAATGTCTGAATTCAATTTCCAGCGAAACCCTAATATAGTGTGTATGTTCATATTTCCATGAACATAAAAAGGAAATAAATCTAATCTTTCTTACTACTAAACATTTTTACACATACTGCACATCAGTATGAAGGTACTGGAGCAAGCAATGAAAGCAGACTCTTCGATAAAGCCAGGTAAAATGGCAAAATTCCCTGTCATTTCTCTTCAGAGGGGATTTGAGAGTAGAAGTTTAGCTCCATACTCAAATCCTTCCTCCTACATTCTGTGGTAATACATCCAATTTTTACCTAGATTCTGCTGTAAAGGGGAGGTGATGTATGAATAAGAAGTCTAGACTTATAGACGGTTGTCTTCCAGGTTGTAGCACCGTGCAGTCTGGTAGAATTTTAGCTGTGTTCCAGAGGCCCTTGCTGCCATCATCACAGTCCCGATGATGAAGACAGCAAGGACCTCTGAAACGTCGGTAAACTTCTACCAGACTACACGGGGTTACGATCCAGAAGAGAGCCATCTTTGGACTCACCACAGTGAGAATCTCAAATCCTACATAACTTTCTGTTAAGTTAAGTTATACCCCTCTAGAGGAAGGGACCTCTTATCTGTCTTCTTAAACTTTAAAATTAATATTTTTGTATGGAATTTAGCATTTCCTATGGCCATTAAGATCATCTACACCATGACGATTATGGTGGGATTACGAAGGCCAGTTAAATTAGAACCAAATGTTTTGCCCTCAATCAATTTACGAGATAAAGGATGCTGTGGGCAGCAACTGTTGAGCACTTGCATTTGGATCTGAAGTAATTTCACACCAATTCCAAAGTTTTGTCCCCGTCTTAAACTCGGATATCCTCTTAACTGCGTGCCAGTGGAATACGCATCTTATAGTTAGGAATGAAACGGAAGAAGTGTGAAAAAATGTGTTCAAATTCTGAGGTATATGGGCAGAAGGAACAGAGAAGAGTGATTTGGAGGTACAGAGGAGAGAGATAATAATGGAAATAAAAGAGATGTGGAGGAAAGTGGTACTGAAGTCTGGGGAAGAGAGAAAACAAGAAGTAAAGGTGGCAGGTGCTAGCAAACAAATATGTACTGACTGGCAAACAGCGTAGCGACACATTTCCATAATTATTTAAACAGATTTTCACAGACGATTCAGTTTCGTGACTTTAACTCCTGACATATAAGTGAATAAAATACTTAAGGGTCAATAATCCTGCCAAGACACACCCTACACTATCATAAGTTTTGCAGATATTCTGATGTTGGTAATGGTGAAACGCCACTCCACACAAACTTATAACAGAATGTCAAATGTCATTTTAATAGTTTAATTTGTCATGATCTTCTCCACATACTTTGGAAAATATTTATTCCCCCACTTAGCCCTACATACAGACTGTTAAGACTGCCGACCAGTTCCACGGCCAGCCCTTCAAATGAAGACATGAGGTCTCTGACACTGAAAAAAAATTTTAGTGCTCTATTACACCGCCTCCTTCAGTCTTGTTTGAAAAACTACTGTCATCACCAGCAACACAGAGTTCCAGTGTAGTTTCCTTGGTAGGCAGTACCTCTTCAACTGCGGAAACACTAGATACGTTTACACCAGAGGGAGAAGAAAATGCAGACACTGAAGGTCCTGAGGTTGATTCTTCAAGGTCCTTCTCACCCTCTCCGTATTCATTTCCGTGACATCCTGACGTAACCCAGTCACCAGTACTCATTGCCAGGGGATCCTCCAATGATGAATCATGACTAGGCAAGCCGCTAGCCAACGACAGCAGCGCATCCAGTCCCATACTTTCATCCACATTATTCAGTTCCATTTTCACCTATTAAGGAACATAATACATAAAATAAAATCCAGTGATCAATCAAACCCCCTCAACAATATCAATACATAAATTTGGAAACAGAAGGGAAATTAATTTATTGATTTCTTACCTGAGGAAACCACAGTGAATTCCGATCAATACGCAGTCATTTTTAAGAAACTTGAAAGACTGCTACAGATACGTCACACAAAACAGGATTCGAAGACAATGCTTTCTACGATAATACCAGGATACACATTAAGAACTAATAAAGTCATTCTTACATTTGGTTCATACTGTACTATACATTCTACTGTATTAGTACTTCATACAGCATTTTTATTTGTTTTGTTGTACTTTAAGACAATTCACTCATATGGATCAAGGCGATATTTTCGTTTTACTCACACGAGACAAATCTACTTCCTCCTCCGTAACGCGGTTGCCGTCGTCCTGGTCATGTTCTTGCTCGTGTTCCTGCACCGTGCAATTCTTGCATATATAATCCTCATCTTCATTTACATCGTCCTTATCGAGACCGACGCAATGCAAATGAAACCACTTGTCACAGCCTCCGTCACACTGGACCCAGTCCACTTCATGTCCTGAAAAACGAGGAAAGCATATTTAGAGTTCGAGGATGCCATGTAAAAATATCCTCTCACAAAAGTATAAACAAATTACATCTAACAATTAACCACATTAATTAAATTAGTTCATCATCACCATCTTGTCAGCTGTAAGGTCATAAACATAGCAATTTTATATTATTTAACAATGAAATGGTGTGTTTACACTCACTCATTCAAACACAATACGTAACCTAATCATGATATACTCAATTCAACAAACCTGGCACGAAAGAGTCCAAAATTAAGGTTAGAATGCATGTGAAGGAGTTTCCTGTTATGAAGCTGTATGCAATGACCACCCACATTACCATACAAACTCCCATGGAGGTTACATTTACACAACATGAATTACAGTAACCCCGTTTAAAATACAAGAACCTTTCATATTCCATTACCTGTTGGTCTGAGGCAGGTGGGCGCAGCACAGTCTTCGTCATCATCTGTGGACTCCTGTTTGGTTTTTTTCACGCGAGGACAAGATTTTTTCTTGTCTAATGTTTCAACTCTTCTCTTCATCTGAAAACAAGCATTTTTTTTTTTGGCATTAAACAATACAATACTTATTACATATTGTGCTTCAAATACAGGGTACTGTTCTGTAACGTGTTTTACGTCTAGATTCGGGTGAACAGTACCTTACGTACTTTCTTCACAGACTCCTTCTGTTCTTTCAATTTCTTCTTATCCTTCCATTTTTTATTCCTTTCCTCAAATTCTTTTCCTATTTTAACCTTAAGTTTCTTACTCCCACTCGCAAACTCTATTTCTTCCTGCGTACGTTTCTTGGCTTTCCGTCTGTCCTTCAGTTTCTGTTTCTCCATTTTACTCTGTAATATTTCATGCTCCAGCTCCTGTAACAGCAAAGTCACATTCTACAACACTTATTAAGATACGCAGCTGTACCTCACGTTTGTCCAAAATTCTCAAAAATAAGTAAGATGTTAATTTATACTTCACTGGTATGACCGCAGATGAATCCAAGGCAGCAAGATATTCACTAATAAGAACAAAATAAAAAATGTGTACAAGAAGCTAATAATACATAAGAATAAGTAAGTGTCCCCCCTCACAATACATGTACACACCAGAGGGGCACTGCATCTTTCAGTTGAAGGATTATCTATTCAAACATTACTGATCCTTCACAATCAATACACTACTAAATAACATGACACCTACTTCAAAATCTGGGAACTTCTCTTCTTGACGAGGTTTAGTGGCTTGAAGGATTCTCCAAATATGTTGCGTTTCATCAAGAGAAACTTCCAAGAGATCACCTTCCATCATCAGTTCTTCAAGCTGAGCTCGGGCCATTTCACTGAGAGCCAAAACTGGTTGTGCCAGTTGTCGTGGCACTAACGGAGTCTTGCGAATATGTTTCTTGCAGCCTCCTAATCCCAGTCTTGAAGCTGTGAATTGCAGAAATTTCTTCTCAGCATCGGTTTTCTTCCGTAAGAACTACACGCATGAAATTTTATCCAGCAAAGAAAAATGACAACTGTATATAAAATCAAGCAAATACAAAGTTGCTCAGAACTCCAAATCAACAATGTTGTAAGTGGAATGAATCTAAATGGTAAAAATAAAGTAATGTCATTGCTAAATTGGATAATTTTCACAGAGACAACTGTGATCGTCTGTTAAGAATTATGTCTGAATCAAATAAACTGGAATCTACAAAACTCAGATACAAATTTTATGAATTTTTCAGTTTAAAACATATACCTGAGGAATAAGCATGTTCTGAATTACTGTAAGGATTACTGCATTCTTCATAATGTGAATCATCATCTTCGTCTGTTCTCAGATTAGCCGATGTCAACACGGAATCATCATCATCTTCATCATCAACATCGTCGTCATCATCTTGAGGAAATGAGCTATGAGGCTGATCATTCGCTTGATCCAATGTTTCATGCAAACAGTCAACAGCAGCTTCTGTTTCAACGCCACTTGATTCTCCCTTGAGATACAAAAATCAAATAAGCATTCAATAAGACAGAAATAGAAGTATATTACACTGAAATCCTGTTACATAATGACATATAATTTAAAAAATAAAAAAATGTGTATCACAGATAATACTTAATAGCATGTTTCTTCTAACATAACCAAACTCCAAGTTTCGACATGGGTACAAATAATATGTTAATTTCCACTGTTTAGCAGGACACTTGTAAACAAAACTAAAAACTAAAACATTTATCTATATTGAGCTGGATACTTCAAAACGCAAGAACTATTTTAAAATATAAGTTCATTTTGTTGTACGATACACGAATAACTGCATTTTATTAAACCTCTTATGAGAAACAGGATATGAAGACAACCACCTCCTAGGACGATGCGTCATGTAGCCTCGTAGAAACACGCAGACGTTTCAAAGGCGCCTGCCGCCTCTGAAACACGTGAATTTTTACAAAACTACACGCCACAACATCCCGTAAGACAGTCTTATTCATAATGTCCACTGTGAGAACCTGAAATCTTGCTGAAACAGGATATGATAGCAACTCACCAGATGCGGCGGACTCGACTGCGATCCCAGAGAATCTTCGCTCTGCACACCACTGAGAGATGAAATGGCCTGCACACGGCGATGCAGCTCAGGATTGCTGGCAGCTTTCTTTAATTCACTGCTGATAATTTTCTCAGTCTTCTCGCGCGCAACGGCCTCCACCAGTTTTTGTGACAAGACAGAGAGCTTCGCAAGAGCAGACGCAAGTTCTTCCGTAGCAAGAGCTTGACGGGCGCGATCCTACACGAGAGAAAACTCGTCTCTGATTATTAACCTTCACGCTTTATTTCAAAATACTGTACCTTCAATTTATTCAGCATAAAAGGGCAAACTTTTGTATCTCACAATAACAGATTAATAATCACAGCTGCTGCACCTCTAGAAGCATAACAATGATTAAAACCAGTTCTTGGCATAAGACCATGCTTTTCACTGTTGTTTACTCGATTATAAATGCATCAACTACTGAGGTTGTACAACATCAAATGACACAGTACAATGAATACATATGATGAATGATAAAGAATCTGATTGGAAGTAGTAATGGGCTACTTTAAGTTTTAATCTGATATTTTCATGGAGGAAATGAGAAAGAACACAAAATTCTTTTTCACTAGTCAGTCCCTGAGCAGAATTCAGAACAAGTTCTCAGTAGATGAGAATCAGACATTTCCAAAATGGGGAATCCTCCAGTAAATTTACCCGGTTCTTATTTCCTGAAAAACAAGCATACCTGCCAATTCATTGCCCGCTCTGTGAGACACTGAAGAGCTTCGCCCTCAGGGATACGAACTGGAAGTTTCTGAAGAGATACAAGAAGAGAAAGAATTGTTTCGAGACGAGGTCGACGAGACCTCAAGCAGCACGGGCAAAGGAACTTCAGCTCTCTGGATGCGGCGGCAACTAACTGCTGTGCCGGAGTCTGCTGCTTATTTTTGTTGCTGGTGCTCTTTGGAAGGGGAACACATGTGGCTGCAACACAACATAATATTAGCTTAACGTCATGACATCTTAAAGCCTACAGCCATTCAAAACTTCAGGTAATGCATTCTCAAAAAGGACAATTCTGGGGGAAAAAAACTCCTATGAGGCAATGGTAAATGATGGGCATCTCGTAGGCAGAAAGCAATATTTACATTATCATTCAATGATTACTGAAATTTCCAATGTTTCTGTGGTTTAATCAGCCACCACGCATGTTTATATGGATCTCTCAAGGACTAACCAGATTCACTACCAAACAAACCCCTTGTAGACGTCTAGTTTTACATCCGATGGCAAATTCTAAAAGAATTTAAACAAAATGGAATAATCATATACCTACCATGGAACCAGTCTTTACACAATTCACACTGCAACATAAATCCCGAAACCCCGCGACGACATACACAATACTTGGCTTCTCCTGTATCATTAACTCTCTTCTTTAGATTTTCTAAACGCAGAGCACGCATTGCAACCATCTCCTGTTCCTCTGCCCCCTGAAAGTGTATTTTATGACTGTTAGCTCCTATAACGCTGCAAAATACCTACCACAAGTACCACATCTATCATAACAGTCCAAACTCATGTTCTGGAGGTTACACCTTTTAACTGTTAAGAAAATGTCAGTATGTTCACATAAAAATAACAATAAGGGAAGTTCTTGGGAGGGAGAAAATAAGCTTACACAGGCTTATGTGTACACGACTTGAAGGTTATGTGGCGACTAACAGAGGTAAAATCTCCTAGGGAAGCCAGCAGCACCAACTCAGAAAACAAGTCCGACGTTTCAGGGATTCTTCGAGTCTCCAAAATGTCATTCCGTAATAATGGGGACAGAGAATCCCCTGTTCCGAGCTGACACAGATGGTCACCTGAGAGGATTTTATCACAGGCTAAAGTGTGGTTGTATACACTATTATAATTCAGGAAACTTTAACAATTGAGCTGTTGCGAAGACGAGAGGAAAAAGTAGGAGTTTATGGATGAGAAAACACTACTGGTAACAGTAAAGATGCAAATATAAACATTTATTTTAAACATATCTAAAACTACCTACTGAATATATGGGCATTCAAATCTTAATAAGCTGAAATTAACATAAAGAGTTTTATAAAGTACCTTCTTCACACTTTCCCCAAAAATACACGGAAAACAAATTATAAATATTAGAAAGCAGGGTTAGCCAACATCTGGTAGAAGCGAACACACACGTACATAAAAACATTTATGTTTACTATGTGCCATATTAAATGAATTGGAAATAAATATGATTGGTTAAATGGATGTCTTCTGGGCTGTTGCACAGTGTAGACTGGTAGAAGTTTACAAACATTTCAGAGGTTCCTGCTCCATCCATTCATCATAGTCGCTGCCATAAAAACCTCAAATCTCACAAGTTAGATTAAGGTCATGTGTCACAAAATTATATTACTGAAACAAATCTAATTCAAGTGTTACTGACCTTGAAAGCTGCAACCACAGCAGCAGGATCTACATCTCCATCCAACTTAACATCACAAACAACTGGAGCAATCAAAAGAGCTGAATTATCTTCACGGAAACGACGTTTCTTTTGTTTCAAAGCCGACACACCCACTTCAACCCTTGGAGACAATGCCTACAGAAGACATTGAATGAAATCATGACCTTAATAGTTTCCCACGAAGTAAAGAAAATTTATAAATTGTGCATATACTGTGCTTTTCATAAAACACAAAGAACAAAGCGAACAATTAACACGATATTAAGGTGACATATATACAACTTTGCTAATAAAACAAGAGTGATTGGGCAAAGAACACACACGGCAGTTGTAAATCTCTAATTCATACACGATCACATAAATCGAATGCTGATACAGCACTTCATTACAAAAATTATGTAACTACTTACTTCCATTAGTGTGTAATGCGAATTTTTCCTAAGGAAGGTACGAGCTGTTCGATCTTTCCATGTTTTGGCACCACTCAGTTGTGATTCCAGTTGTGGAAGGAGTTCCAGACGAACAGGAATATTTCGCCCTTTGTTAACAAGTAACTCCAGCGCATCCATGTACGGAAAATTTTCAGCCCTCTAAACAAACAATAAAAGGAAAAATCATTTACAGATAGGATCCCCAATGTACTGTGCTGTCTGAAAATTAAAAGGCAGAGAAAGCATGTGTATGATGAGCACAGCGCACATAGTCTGACCAGGAGAAAAGTGTTTTCGCATTTTCTTATAAAACAGTTTAACGTGAAATGTGAAAAAAAAAAACTTCCAGAAAACAAAACTGCATATATTGGATACTTTCACTGTACAATAAAGTCTGCAAAAACAGCAAACAACCAAAGAGAATTATGTACAAATGGTAACATCTCCAACGCTACAGACACGTGAACCAAGACGTAACTGCGGTTTTTGCACATACAGAACCATACCTGAACTGTTTCTACTTTTGAGGACCATTCTTTTCCTTTCTTGAGGGCATCTTTTAAAGTTCCAATATTTGGTAGAAAAGCTGGAATTGCCTCTGCTTCCTTCAAGATTGTTTCTATAGTGCAGATCGTTTGCCGGGATCTATGGAGCAAAAGAAACCAAAATGTTAGTTGAGAAAACCAAGGAAATATGGTAGAATGGCCCTACATAAATACTTTCCAACAGTAATGTCATGTTCATCGTCCTGATGATCAAAGATGGATGGCGCTACAACTGAGAAAATAGCCAGCCGTCTTGATACTTATCACCATGAGTGAATGCAAGCCTGTAGGTTATATTTATACAGCACCAGAAACCAGATAAATCCAGACAAGCTTTAGATGTTAATGAACTTATTTTAATAACGTGTCCGAATTAGTAACTTAGTTCTGATATAGCTTGCATCAATACATTCTAAATCACATGCCATCTAAGTGTTTTAAATATGAATAAATTCAGGTATTTTATCAGACTCAGGGGCTCACTCACAATCGCATCGCTAACGAACGTCTGAGCGACTAAAACTATAAGAGGTCGTAGTCTTTAAAATACCAGACAATCCTGTTCATAAATCTAAGAAAAGTTATAAAAATAAATCAAACATGGAACATAAGTCACCATTAAAATATATCTAACTCATCTGGTATACGTAACGACAGTCAACAACTAATAACTTACTTTGCTTGTAAGCAGACTTTGGCCTTTTCTTCCCACTTTTCCACCTGTGTCAGAAGATCCTGAAGCTCAGCCATCGATTTCTCTACTATTGCGTGCGGAGGCAAACTTACACCGACATTCAGCAGCTTTCTGAGTGACTCCAAAGTAACCTGCTCCGAATCTTCCTGCAAATCTCTCACGTCTTCTAGCCACTTCATCTGGGCCAAGGTCTAAAAAAACATGACGTGACAAACACACAAAGTTCTGTGCTATTTAACTCACATTACATTTACGGCAACAAAGAGAGACAGAAAATTTTCCATCAAACACATGACAAATATATTTTATGTAACACATATAATCTATGCGGTTAAACAACGCCGCTTCCGACCAACATCAACTGCTGCTATTGATCTCGAAATATTACTCAAAATTCTTTGCTTTTTCTGGGATGCCAAAAAGAACCCTCTGAATTGGTCATGTTTTTTATACAGCGGGAACACGGCTGAATGGGATTTGGGAGATGTGACTGAGGGGTAGTAAAACTGTGAAAAGACACAAATACAAAAGGAGCAAAGAAGAACTGTCGGCATTACACAAAGAATGATTACGATCAAACTCAAAAACTTTTACAGAAAACATTTCTTTTTTTGCAGTACTGTGCTCATAAAAACTGGAACTATTTTCAACTCGCCCTACATCCGAAGGCGACAACAAAACAGAATGTACATTACCTGCTTCAGCTTCGGAATTTCTGACAGTTCAATATCCAATACAATGCCGTTCTCTATACATTTATCCACCAATTGCGACTCTGGCATTTCTTGGCCTAAAAGTTCAGCTGCTTCCGTCTGAAAATCTTTAACTCTATCGAGTAACTCCTTCACTCCTTCACCTTCCCTTATCGTGCATGGTAAACTTTCTATTTGTTCATAAAATAATGACAGCTCTTCGACTGTCAGTTTGTACTTTGCTTCTATGGTCTGCCGTGTTCTGTAAAAGAAGATGATGATGTGAAAACTGTAAATGTAGAATAAATGCTCTTCACATATTTTCACACTGAATGAAGAGAAATTACCGTGTCCGAACTTTCTTGCAGGAAAGTTGCTGGGCAACACTTGCACACTTCTCGGCTTCCGTGACGACTTGCATTAATGCCTGCAGCAACTCCGATTCAGGAAACTTCTTTTGTTCTGCTTCTTGCAACAATGATTTAACCTCTGTAAGGTCTGGGAAACAGATGTCAACTATTAGAAATTATATCTTGTTTACTTAAAGTATTTTACAGGAAGTTCTTCTCAAACATTTTTTAGAAATTTTAAATAAAAATATTTAATCATGTAGTATTATCTGATATCATGATAATGTAATAACGGTGATGATTCTAATCCTCTGACACTTATTTCAGATTCTCTTATACAATTATTTACCACAAAAGGTGCATGTATGAAAAAATACAGTGATCGTATGGGCATGTGAAGTCATATAATATTAAGATTAGCATTAATATTATAAATAACATTTATAATCATCACATAAATTATTAATAATTCCCAACATATATTTTAATCAGTGGTTGCAGAAACAATGTTAAGTCACATATTTTAAAATATAGTTACTGGCTGAAATGCATTTTAAGAAAGTAGTTGCACACTGTGCGTAGAAATCATGTACGTCTCATTAGACTCTGCTGTGGTTTTGTTGTTTTTTTTAACCCAGGGAGTCCTGGCTGAAAACAGTAACAACATGTCACTGACTCATTCCATTTCCTGTTCTCAGTGAACTGGCAGACGTTGCAAGCATGACAGCTCAAGCACGCCACATCCTCCGTCTATTCCCCAGCACATGCCATAAAATTATGACTTCATATCACTCCGTAATTCACAATATATAAAATACTCTTACCTAGTTTTTTCGGAGAATTTAAATCCAATGCATTTTTTACAGTTGATACCCAATTATCAAAGGACTCTGCCCGTAGCTTCAACTTATGTAACATGACAGGCAACTCGTCTAATGTATACCGATACCTGTAACAAGAGGAACACTACATAAAAGATACCATTTCTGAATTCAAGTGTAAGTACAGCATGTACCAGGCCATGTCAGTGCTCAGGGAATTAGTTACTGGTTTCCGACTACAAGAAGAACGGGTTCATGGCCCAGGCAATCCATGTTGCATCTGTGGTGGACAAACTGACACACACGGCAACCCAGAGTCCGTTTCGCCCAGCACGCTCATCACAAACCGAACCCCAAAGCACTAACCTTAGTGTATGCTTGTCTGGCGGACAGGAGCACAGGCTTGAATAATGCCTAAGACAAACCAAATGTTCTGCATTGCAACTACATGTTACTGCAGACAAAAAACAAGTAGTCTTGCACACTTCACATTGCCTCTCGTCATCAGGTAACAATTCAAACGCTTCCCTTTCGGCTTCGGTCACACCCTGAAATTCAACAGAACATAAACGTCACCGGTAATTTCAGTTTTGAAAATCATGTGTCTGTTAACCCTTTAGAAATAATGGTAAACATACATACCACGTGTTTTAACATTCGCTATCAAACTGACACAAACAAAGGTGGGTGGCACAGATATACACAGTTACAAATTACGTCAGCTTCATGCTTTAAATAACTTATTTTATACACTAACTCTCCGGAACAGATTGGCTCACTCAGCATGTGACAGTAGACGCACAGAAGCATATAAAAATCAGCCTCTGTCATTTATGTTGGTCATTCTGCACTTCGGTCATGGAGTCTATTTATGGGATTCATATGATTCTCAGAATGAACAGTGATCATTTCTCTTTACAACAACAACAACCAGATGATCACTGTAACAGATATGTGATGTTTATTCTTTGAATTGAATGAATTGAATTCTTGTTTATTTATCAAATACTTTTAATAATGTTAAATGAAACATGCAGAAAATGTTTCAAATGCCTTGTCAATCATTAAACAGGGACCACCAACCATTTTGTTCAAACACAGTTCAATCTTCTATTCAACAGAAAATATCCACCTACACTTAAAATACTTCAAGACATCCACCCCCCAAAGAAAGCTAAATGAACAGAGACTAAAGATTACTGTCTTCTGGGTTGTAGCGCCGTGTAGTCTGGTAGAAGTTTACCATTTCAGAGGCCCTTGCTACTGATGCTGATGGAGGCAGCAAGGACCTTCGAAACGTCGGTAAGCTTCTACCAGACTACACGGTGCAACAACCCAGACGACAGCAATCTTCAGACTCGCCGCCATGAAAACCTCAAATCTTACAAACAGAGTTAATAAGTTAAGAAAATCTTACCCATTCAAGAAGTGACTTTCTCATTTTCTTTTCACTGTCCACCATTTGCAACATATCTTGATATGTTGCAGCCGCTACAGTAAGATCTAAAGCATCTGGTTCCAAAGACATTTTGCAAACGAGTTCATCATGAGCAAAAACGCAAAACCGACGTAACATGGAATAGTGGCTGATGCATTCACGCCCCATTTTTAACTGTAATAAATTCAAATAAACTGTATGTAGATAGCTAACTTAACTACTAGACATTAGATAATTTGAAAAACAATAGAAAATTATAAAACAAATGGAAACCACTCATAGTAAAATCAAAGAGAAAAACAATAATTTAAGACAAAATATGATTCACCAACTAACCAAGTTACATATGAGACAACCATGATGAAACGATAATAAATAAGATACTATTATAATTAATGTTGTTTTATGCTTTCTGCTTCATCAGCACAGCATTCTCATATATTTAGTGGCACAGCGCACTTGCTTATGAAACTACAATCTGGAAATGCAGCAAATATCAAAAGAGCAGCATCCGTTGTGAGTTGGCACCATCTGTAAGTTTCTAATTTAAATGTGATTCTTATGGCCAACATTATTCCATCTGATAAACATTTTACAGGTTAATTAATAGGTCCCATTATGAAAAAGTAAATGTTTACCTATATCGACAAGAGCTTACTCACCCAGTCGGCTGGCGCAAAGTTGACAGCTTCAGCAAAATTGTATCCTTGGTTGAAACCAGCATGATATGCCCTTGGGAAAGTTACTACGAATTCTCCGGCATGTTGATCTGTCCTACAAACTGGTACACCTGCGTTAAACAACGTAATCACACATCTCCATCTATAATTTCCGAGGAGTGGATGGTCGGATCACCACCATCTGGGTTCTGTCCTTTACCAAAAAGTATCAGTTTCCATATACAAATATGAAAGGTTTTCTCCGACTAGCAGTAGAGCCATCTGGTGTACGGTTCTTTCTGCGTATGCAAGGAGAGCAAACCCTGAAGCAGTGCAGTGCACGTATGATGAAGAGAAAAGTTGCGGGGATTACAAAGAATATGAATGTAAAGAAAGAACCGCAACCAGCGTGGAGGCTCGTCATCTACAAACAAAACTGTGTCAAACTGCAGTCAAGAAAAAATTTGTTGTCTCTCACAGCATTGTTCAATATGAGAATAAATCAAAACTTCTATTTCAATATCTCAGGCATCCAATTTTAAAATTTATATTAACTTCATTTTACCTCCTTGCATAAGTATATTTGGATTCATAATTGTAACCAGTTGATGCAGTAAATCAGGCTGTGACTGGAAGAGTTCAGGTGCCGCCATTTTCATCGAGGACTCAAATGCCTCTGCCTTGTTACCAGGCACACCATACCACGTCTTTGGCTCACCCCTTAAATAAAACATATTTCACATTAATAACAGGTATCTCCAATCATAATCAACACAATCATCGCATTTTGTAAGCATGTAACTGCTGTTACTGGTTCTGTTCCTACAATCAATACAGAGTGGCTAACAGAACGTACGTTACTAACACTACCACTTACAGTCCCAAGCTTATTATCAATCCCCACGTTTCAAAACAACCTACCAGTGAAGATAGTTTATGGAGTAGCTCCAGTGATCTTCATTGTGCCAACAGAAAGTCGCAAAGCACATACCAACATACATCCATGGAACCTTCATCCCAGATATATCTGCATTAATATGACCCAGAACTGAACCTTCAAGGACAGGAAGATTGTTTAAATTCCAACCAGAATTTGCATATTCCTGAAACGAATATTGTTAAGTTATTGCTTCACAATGAACGAAATTCTTGTAACAAAATCAACAAAAATATAGCAAAGACACGACACTTTGCACACAGAACGATGGATGGAGAGACAGACATGGACAACCACGATTATGTTCGTAAAAGTGGAGGAATAAGAAGTAATGCACCTTTCGGAAGAGATTTTTGATGGCTGGCTGCTGTCGAAAATATATTTATGAGCATCAAATTGTAGGCACAATGCGAATGGGACATGTGGACATTTATATTATTTATTTATTTATTTAGTGTTCTGTCTGATGACAGGTCCATATGAACAGGATCCTTCCATCCTTTTCTCGGACTGGGACCTGTTCATATACGTTCTTGGCAGATGATCCAGAAGTGGTTTGCCATTGCCTTCTTCTGTGTGTGAATGGAGTAATTGTTGGGATGCCACGGAGGAAAACTCCGTGTTGCCTAGACCACGGCCTTGCCCAACACAAGTTATAAATTCGGGCACCGCCGGGAATCGAACCCGAGACCCCAGAATTACGAGGCCAGCGTTCTAACCGCTAGACCACCGTGGACATACAGCAAATAATGTCCGTAACTTGCTTGCAAAAAAATAACTCTAATAAATGGTCAGTTTTGAGTACAAGACTCATTTATTCTCAGTTGTTTTCTTACCTCCACAACAACCACTTCAAAAAAGGATAAATTATGCCCAAATGGCATTACCTCTTTAAACCACACTGCTTGCTGATACACATTTAGGAAGTTAGGAGACAGACTTAAAATTGTGTAATTAAATTATGTTATAATGATATCAATAATATTGTAAGTGCCTATTAGAACGAACATTTTTTTTAATTTAAAAATTCTCATTATATAAGGTTATATTACATAACCCTACTTCACTTATGATATTATTTTCTTAACTATGACAAACAATTTGAAAGAAATATAGAATGTAACTAAAATACGTGTACATACTTGGTCAACAGGATGCAGATCTGGGGTTGACTTGGTAGGGAAACCGGATCCGTGATCCATAGTATGTAGATCTGCTCCATATTCTACCGTAACATCTTCATCAATAGAAGAAACAATTCGCCAAAACTCCCTTTCTACGAGCGGCGTGGGAACCAACTGTAAATACAATTGTGATGCAAGAATAGAACACAGCAAATACTCTTATTTATGATCACTCTATAAAGCAAATTGTATGGAGTCGCATGCATGCCCACAGATGGGAAAAATCTCTGTATCAGAATTTCTGTCCAAACGATTCCTCCCTTCACAGAGTTTATCATAACAGATTGTCTTCGTATGCTGTGGGACATAACACAGCTTATGGAAAACAATTTTTTCTGAATTTTATAAACTCTCTTTACACTGTTATCAAGGTAGCTCTGTACTTTCAAATTAAAAAAAAACAGTCTTCAATGTTTATAATTAAATAAACATTCAAAAACATTATTAACCATCACATATGAAATATATGATATGAAGCCTTGGTGGGAACCCAATAAAATCTTCTCGGCGATCAGCTGCGTCAACCGGTTAATTGAAGAAACTGACGATTCAGGGACCACCTCTGTCATCATCATGGTTCTGATGTATCACATATGAACTGTATGTACTTTTGACTGCTTGTATCTACTACAGAATTTGCACCAGAACACGTAAATTATAATGAAAAAACAAACACCACTGACAAAGACCACATAGAGAAGTCCCATGGACTGACCCCTTCCACATCTCCCTCAAACTGTTACACTCACCTAATCCAAAGTACTCTGCTGTTCTTTCTGTCAGCCATCTAGCAGTTGCTCAAAGAAATCTTGGTAGAGATGAACTTCGCTAGTAACAAACACTTTGGGCTGACAGATGTAGGCTTAAGGGGAATATAACAGTAGGCACAAAGGGGAAATCTTCCAATTCCTGTCACCACCACCACCCATCCCCGAGACTTCCTTCTGTGGCCCCAGCATTAAACGAACAATTACAGTCATAATAAAAACAAATTCCGCTGCCATTACTGAATAATGTATCAGGCATGAGAAGGCAATATCAACTCACATGAACGGGCATGTTAAAGTAGTCAGATTTGAACTGATCTGCCATTTCTCCAAACTGCTGTAATGTGTATTCCCGCTGTGCTTGCTCGAAACCGAAAGCTTCCATCGGTTTGCTCACCTCCTCAGCGACGCATTTAGGGCACCTCCAATCACCTATTACATTTTAAAGGACATGAACTGTATGAAAACACTAAATAAAAACTCCAGGTATAAAGACAGGTTTCCAGCTCCAGCTAAGGAGTTAAGAAACTGTTTGCAGTTCAAACAAAACCTGAAAGAAATTCACTCAGTTAACAAAAATTACAAGCTTGTAATGGAGATGGCCAGCAGATCAAACAGTTGCACTTTAGCGGAACCTGCAGTGGCCGACAGATGAATTACAAGGGTTAAGAAATATGCACCTTTTTTTTGATTATGTATTTCCAAAATTAACATCTCATTAACTGATGCTGAGTCTGTAGTAGAACCAGAACCATGGTGGCTTGTTTAACTAAAATATTTCATTAATATTACACCACTGTTTTTCTTTAAAGATAATAAGTCATTGCATATTCTTATATAAACTTACACACATTCTTAAAGAATTTAAAACTCCGTACCTTTAGGAATTTCCAGAAGTGGAGGCATGAGACAGAACGTATGGTAACTGTCGTCACAGCCGTCGCATAACAACATCGACTCTTCAACGTCCCCCCGTCCACAGTTGTGACACACGTACTTGGCAAGCTAGAACAGAGCACCACAAAATGTGTCCATGTGCGCGTATGTCCATTGTGCGTGAAGGGCTCAATAACACTCACCCACAATGACATTACACTTAAAATATATATTAAAAATTATTACGTGTGTTTCGTTTCTTACTTACTAAACAGCAATGTCATTTGTTTCTCAGTTTCACGTTCACTGACATTGATAGATTCACAGCACCAGCTAAAATGTGACATTGGCAAGTTCGGAAGGATAACAAAGGACATGGCCACAGTCACAGTCTACTGGCACGTAATCTCTCAAAAATGCTATGAACAAAAGTGCACCTTCCCTGCAGGTAAAAGTGACCAGAATATGAAGCCAGACTCTCACCTCAGCACCGATTTGAGGACAGAAATGCATGTGTTTCAATTCAATATCAGATTTATTGCATGGTGTGTAAGGACAGGGTTCACCCAATTCTGCATACAGCCATTAAACCATCTTGCTCAAAACGCTGTGGCTGCTAGTCACAATCCCTGACGGTGGACAGGGTCCAGCAAGATCGGTTGCTTAGAATTTGAAACCAATGCACAGACAAAACTTCCAAAATCCAATCAGCACAAGAGAATGATGTAATATCCCCCCCAAGATACCCCAGATAAAATATGTGAAGCATCAAATGTCACTTCACAACACTCGTATCCCCTATTCCTAGGTATAACTGCAGAACTTAAGTATGAAAATTAAAAACTGTACTAGTAAATGGTCTCCGAGCTGCAAACCTGGTACTGCCATAAT